AGAATTGAATAAGAAAGAAAGAAGTTTTTAAATTGAAATAGAAAAAAAGAATGAAACAGGAATTGAATAAAAAAAAAAGTTTTAAATTGAAATAAAAAGAATGAAACAGATTTGAATAAGAAAGAAAGAAGTTTTAAATTGAAATAAAAGAATGAAACAGGAATTGAATAAGAAAGAAAAGAAGTTTTAAATTGAAATAAAAAAATGAATGAATTGAATAAAAAGAAAAAAGTTTTAAATTGAAATAAAAAGAATGAAAAGGAATTGAATAAGAAAGAAGTTTTAAATTGAAATAAAAAGAATGAATCAGGAATTGAATAAGAAAGAAAGAAGTTTTAAATTGAAATAAAAAGAATGAAACAGGAATTGAATAAGAAAGAAGTTTTAAATTGAAATAAAAAGAATGAAACAGGAATTGAATAAGAAAGAAAGAAGTTTTAAATTGAAATAAAAAGAATGAAACAGGAATTGAATAAGAAAAGAAAGAAGTTTTAAATTGAAATAAAAAAAGAATGAAACAGGAATTGAATAAGAAAGAAAAGAAGTTTTAAATTGAAATAAAAAAGAATGAAACAGGAATTGAATAAGAAAGAAAGAAGTTTTAAATTGAAAAATAAAAAAGAATGAATCAGGAATTGAATAAGAAAGAAATAAGTTTTAAATTGAAATAAAAAGAATGAAACAGGAATTGAATAAGAAAGAAAGAAGTTTTAAATTGAAATAAAAAAAGAATGAAACAGGAATTGAATAAGAAAGAAAGAAGTTTTAAATTGAAATAAAAAAAGAATGAATCAGGAATTGAATAAGAAAGAAAGAAGTTTTAAATTGAAATAAAAAGAATGAAACAGGAATTGAATAAGAAGAAAAGAAGTTTTAAATTGAAATAAAAAGAATGAATAGAATTGAATAAGAAAGAAAAAGTTTAAATTGAAATAAAAGAATTTTAAATTGAAAGAAAAAAAGAATGAAATAAGGAATTGAATAAAAAGAAAGAAAGAAGTTTAAATTGAAATAAAAAAGAATGAATCAGGATTTGAATAAGAAAGAAAAGAAGTTTTAAATTGAAATAAAAGAATGAAACAAATTTGAATAAAAGAAAGAAGTTTTAAATTGAAATAAAAAGAATGAAACAGGAATTGAATAAGAAAGAAAGAAGTTTTAAATTGAAATAAAAAGAATGAAACAGGAATTGAATAAGAAAGAAAGAAGTTTTTAAATTGAAATAAAAAAAGAATGAATCAGGAATTGAATAAGAAAGAAAAGAAGTTTTAAATTGAAATAAAAAGAATGAAACAGAATTGAATAAGAAAGAAAAGGTTTTAAAATTGAAATAAAAAAGAATGAAAGGATTTGAAGAAAGAAAGAAGTTTTAAATTGAAATAAAAAGAATGAAAGATTTGAATAAGAAAGAAAGAAGTTTTAAATTGAAATAAAAAGAATGAAACAGGATTTGAATAAGAAAGAAGTTTTAAATTGAAATAAAAAGAATGAATCAGGAATTGAATAAGAAAGAAAGAAGTTTTAAATTGAAATAAAAAGAATGAAACAGGAATTGAATAAGAAAGAAAGAAGTTTTAAATTGAAATAAAAAGAATGAAAAGGAATTGAATGAAAGAAGTTTTAAATTGAAATAAAAGAATGAATCAGGATTTGAATAAGAAAAAGTTTTAAATTGAAATAAAAAAAGAATGAATCAGGAATTGAATAAGAAAGAAAGAAGTTTTAAATTGAAATAAAAGAATGAAACAGGAATTGAATAAGAAAGAAAGAAGTTTTAAATTGAAATAAAAAAAAAGAATGAATCAGGAATTGAATAAGAAAGAAAGAAGTTTTAAATTGAAATAAAAAGAATGAATCAGGAATTGAATAAGAAAAAAGAAGTTTTAAATTGAAATAAAAAAAGAATGAAAAGAATTGAATAAGAAAAGAAGTTTTAAATTGAATAAAAAAGAAAAAAGAATTGAATAAGAAAAGAAGTTTTAAATTGAAATAAAAAGAATGAATCAGGAATTGAATAAGAAAAGAAAGAAGTTTTAAATTGAAATAAAAAGAATGAATCAGGAATTGAATAAGAAAGAAAGAAGTTTTAAATTGAAATAAAAAAAAAATGAAAAAATTGAATGAAGAAAGAAGTTTTAAATTGAAATAAAAGAAGAAAGAATTGAATAAGAAAGAAAGAAGTTTTAAATTGAAATAAAAGAATGAATCAGGAATTGAATAAGAAAGAAAGAAGTTTTAAATTGAAATAAAAGAAAAAAAGAATAAGAAAAGGTTTAAAATTGAAATAAAAGAATGAACAGAATTGAAGAAAGAAGTTTTAAATTGAAATAAAAAAAATGAAAGGAATTGAATGAAATTGAAATAAAAGAATGAATCAGGAATTGAATAAGAAAGAAAGAAGTTTTTAAATTGAAATAAAAAGAATGAAACAGGAATTGAATAAGAAAAAAGTTTTAAATTGAAATAAAAAGAATGAATCAGAATTGAATAAGAAAGAAAAAAGTTTTAAATGAAATAAAAAGAATGAATCAGGAATTGAATAAGAAAAGAAAGGTTTTAAATGAAATAAAAAAGAATGAAATCAGGAATTGAAAGAAAGAAGTTTTAAATTGAAATAAAAAAGAATGAATCAGAATTGAATAAGAAAGAAAGAAGTTTTAAATTGAAATAAAAAAGAATGAAACAGGAATTGAATAAGAAAGAAAGAAGTTTTAAATTGAAATAAAAAAGAATGAATCAGGAATTGAATAAGAAAGAAAAGAAGTTTTAAATTGAAATAAAAAAGAATGAAACAGGAATTGAATAAGAAAAGAAAGAAGTTTTAAATTGAAATAAAAAGAATGAAACAGGAATTGAATAAGAAAGAAAGAAGTTTTAAATTGAAATAAAAAAAAGAATGAAACAGGAATTGAATAAGAAGAAAAGAAGTTTTAAATTGAAATAAAAAGAATGAAACAGGAATTGAATAAGAAAGAAAGAAGTTTTAAATTGAAAAAAAGAATGAAACAGGAATTGAATAAGAAAGAAAGAAGTTTTAAATTGAAAAAAAAAGAATGAATCAGGAATTGAATAAGAAAGAAAGAAGTTTTAAATTGAAATAAAAAAAGAATGAAACAGGAATTGAATAAGAAAGAAAGAAGTTTTAAATTGAAATAAAAAAGAATGAATCAGGAATTGAATAAGAAAAGTTTTAAAGAAATAAAAAGAATGAATCAGGAATTGAATAAGAAAAGAAAGAAAAAAATTGAAATAAAAAAAAATGAATTGAATAAGAAAGAAAGAAGTTTTAAATTGAAATAAAAAGAATGAATCAGGAATTGAATAAGAAAGAAAGAAGTTTTAAATTGAAATAAAAAGAATGAAACAGGAATTGAATAAGAAAGAAAGAAGTTTTAAATTGAAATAAAAAGAATGAATCAGGAATTGAATAAGAAAGAAAGAAGTTTTAAATTGAAATAAAAAGAATGAAACAGGAATTGAATAAGAAAGAAAGAAGTTTTAAATTGAAATAAAAAGAATGAATCAGGAATTGAATAAGAAAGAAAGAAGTTTTAAATTGAAATAAAAAGAATGAAACAGGATTTGAATAAGAAAGAAGTTTTAAATTGAAATAAAAAGAATGAATCAGGAATTGAATAAGAAAGAAAGAAGTTTTAAATTGAAATAAAAAGAATGAAACAGGAATTGAATAAGAAAGAAAGAAGTTTTAAATTGAAATAAAAGAATGAATCAGGAATTGAATAAGAAAGAAAGAAGTTTTAAATTGAAATAAAAAAGAATGAAACAGGAATTGAATAAGAAGAAAAGAAGTTTTAAATTGAAATAAAAAAAGAATGAATCAGGAATTGAATAAGAATAAGTTTTAAATTGAAATAAAAGAATGAAACAGGATTTGAATAAGAAAGAAAGAAGTTTTAAATTGAAATAGAAAAATAAGAAAAAAGAATTGAATGAAACAGGAATTGAATAAGAAAGAAAGAAGTTTTAAATTGAAATAAAAAGAATGAATCAGGAATTGAATAAGAAAGAAAGAAGTTTTAAATTGAAATAAAAAGAATGAAACAGAATTGAATAAAGAAAGAAAGAAGTTTTAAATTGAAATAAAAAAGAATGAATCAGGAATTGAATAAGAAAGAAGTTTTAAATTGAAATAAAAAGAATGAAACAGGAATTGAATAAGAAAGAAAGAAGTTTTAAATTGAAATAAAAAGAATGAATCAGGAATTGAATAAGAAAGAAAGAAGTTTTAAATTGAAATAAAAAGAATGAAACAGGAATTGAATTGAAGTTTAAAGAAAAAAAAGTTTTAAAGAAAGGAATTGAATAAGAAAGAAAGAAGTTTTAAATTGAAATAAAAGAATGAATCAGAATTGAATAAGAAAGAAAGAAGTTTTAAATTGAAATAAAAAGAATGAATCAGGAATTGAATAAGAAAAAAGTTTTTAAATTGAAATAAAAAAGAATGAATCAGGAATTGAATAAAAAGAAAGAAGTTTTAAATTGAAAAAAAAAGAATGAAACAGGAATTGAATAAGAAAGAAAGAAGTTTTAAATTGAAATAAAAAGAATGAATCAGAATTGAATAAGAAAGAAAGAAGTTTTTAAATTGAAATAAAAAGAATGAATCAGGAATTGAATAAGAAAGAAAAAAGTTAGAAATTGAAATAAAAAGAATGAATCAGGAATTGAATAAGAAAGAAAGAAGTTTTAAATTGAAATAAAAAAGAATGAAACAGGAAATTGAATAAAGAAAAGAAAGAAGTTTTAAATTGAAATAAAAAGAATGAATCAGGAATTGAATAAGAAAGAAGAAAGTTTTAAATTGAAATAAAAAGAATGAAACAGGAATTGAATAAGAAAGAAAGAAGTTTTAAATTGAAATAAAAGAATGAATCAGGAATTGAATAAGAAAGAAAAGAAGTTTTAAATTGAAATAAAAGAATGAAACAGAAATTGAATAAGAAAGAAAAAGTTTTTTAAATTGAAATAAAAAGAATGAA